AAAAAAATATATATACTTTCTTACTACGTTTATTTATATGTAATAATAATAATTACATACATACACAGTCTTGCATTTTTATTAGTCATGTTTTTTTCAATTTAAAAGGGTTAAATAATCTGTCTAATGTCGATTGCTTTTCTCTCTTCAGGATTTTTCGTAAGTAGTTATTAATAGCATTGCAATTGTAGAAATCCCCAAGCCTCAACCTGGTTTGGATGCCATTCTATGATCGTTATTTTGACATCCTTCTACTACTACAAAAGATCTTTAATAACAGATATCGGCATTAATCCTCTTTTTAAGAAGAAACATATCTCGCCGAGTTTCTTGGTGTTATTCATTCAAGAGTTCTTGGCGTTCTTCTGTCGTCAGATCCGTTTCGGATTCCCTTATGAACTCTTCGATATTCTTTATATTTCAGATGTGATTTTTGTTACTCCTTTAGGTGTTTGAGTCTTCTTGATAATACAGTATCTTTCTTAGATAAGATTTAACTACGGTCTACTGTAGACCTGTTCAAAGCCATACTGCCCAAAAACATTAGGCATCTTCTGCCCACTCTCTACCTTTGCTATTATACTCTGACCTTTCGAAAAGAAAAACAGACGCAAAACTTAACGAGTGCCTACCCGACAGTCTCGCGAATACATAAAAGAATTGTTTTGTCAGAAAAATAAAAGGCTGGAATTACAAGGGAGGATTTCAAAGTTCGGAGGAATACTATCCGATCGGTATATACCGGCTTGAGCGTCGATGTCGACGTCTCTCACACTCCGAAAGTTTTCGAATTGTTGCACGAAGACAAGGGAAGACCAATCGGTATTCATTATTTTACATCGCTTCTTCTTGTGTTTGTTCTATGGGGTGTTCGTTATCCGATTTGTTCGTTATCCGATCTGTTCGTTAACCGATCACCCACTGTATTTTTATAGAAATTTATGCACAGATTTAAAATCTATGTTATTCCTCATTCCGGTAATTAATATGTTTTTATAATTATAATATCAGGAACTAAATCGCGGTTTACGACGTAGAATATACGAGAAATCGAAGACTCACTTTACGACGTTTTCCCACAACTAACTCTAATAAGGTTAATAAATAGAGAAATTAATTAATTTACAACTGTAAAAACATGTAAGAAAACTATTTAAATTAATAAACTATGTTAGAAAAAAGTTACTAATTAAATTACCTTTACAATTATAATCCAGCAATTTCTGTTATATAATAATATAATGTCTATTCATGTACATAGAGTATAGCTTTCATTTGCTATTTACTTTCAGTCTGTCATTTCTTTATTCTTTCACGTCCTGTAACTCAATACATCTCTAAACTTCTCCACACAACTATATGACGCATACTCACCCCGTTTAAAATTATAATAAATGAGAATACGTAGACAATAATCTAGTTGTAATAACTACAAATTCCGATATTTACCTGGGAAAAACGGTATTTAAGTGATAGAAAAACGTCGCAATGACTAGAAGAATAGAAAATGAAAGTTTTTATGCACTGTGATGTGTCACGAGACAAACCGCTGCCAGGCATTAAAACCGGTGATGTAATGACACGAAGAGACTGACGAAATATTTTAGGATACGATGAAATACATAAAAGATTTTTTAAACCTTTTTTTTAAGCTTCGGATCAAGAGTCTTAACTGATTTTAGGTGTGATAAACCTTTACTTTCGTATGGAAATACCATGTATTCGTATCTATAAAACATCTATATACAACTGTCAATAGCGAGCTGAGATAAACCCTGAGATAGTCACGTGGTTTCTCACAAAAATCGGGTGATTAAAGTCGTCCTAACTGTAGTAATTTAATATTTGTTATCACTAGATGGAAGCACATTCCAGCTTTTAGTAATATATTCTATGTTTCCATCTAGCGAGAGAAAAAACAATTATTTGTTTTCTATTTAATTAGGGGTTTATTTACTCTAAAGTTTAAAGCTTTATTAACAAAATTGTAAGCTGAATATAAATAAATTAATGTTATTTTTACTCTTCTATTCATTTAAATATTTTAATTAAATTTTGTAAACACAATGCAACCTTATTTCTGCTTTAAATACATAATTACAGTTAGAACACGTGCTTACATATCTATATTTTCTAAATAATTTTATAGAAAAGTACTTCTTTCTGGAAAAAATAATAATAATTTACTAGTAAGAAGTATTAAATCTTCTTTTGTTATTAATGTGTACTTCCTATCTGTCCCAGAATAATAATAGAACAGTAGATGTAAGATGACAGCGTTTTCTGCACTCAAAATTTACTATTTGTAATGTACTCCAAAACCTCTGTATAGCGGACAGAGATTAAGAGGTGTGGCTTCCCTCGAATAGCATATTAAAAATTCCATGCTTATTTTCGGTGTAATCTTTTCGTGGAATAGCTTCGACTCTTTAATATGGATGAGGAATTATTTACAGTCGANATTCTGTGAAAACGGGTAAGGTTGACTATAACGTAATAATCTTAATCTTCGCTATCGTTACTTTTGCCCGAGCAACGCCGGGCCTACCTGCTAGTACTAATATATATAAAAAGAGCTGAAGAAGAAAATGTAAAACCTTTATAAATGGTGTGAAATTAATAAAGGCTTGTGTCAGGAAATTTTCAAATCTGCCTTGTTTATTAAAATAACTACTCTCGGTATCGTAAATAAGACAGGTTTTTTCGGGTGACATAATTTATATTTTGGAAAAATTTTCACTTCTCGACCTGTACAAGAAACTGAACAAATAATCACTATAAAAATTTACGAATTAAAAGTCAAGGCCAAAAAGAGTGAAGAAATGATCGTTAGCCTTGAGACACAGCGGAACAAATGTGAAGCCCCGGAAATAGTCCCCCCCCAAAAAAAGATATGAAAAAATTTGTTAAGTTAAATCGTCAAGAAAACAAATTATGTAAGTGTCGAACCTTTTGAACACCGGACTTTGACGTCGACGCTCATAAAGAGTAGAAGGAAAAACAAAATTTTAGATATAAAAGAAGAACATTTAAAATATTAAAGTTAAGACGCAGTTTAGAAAGCAAAACGAAACTAGAAAAAAATATTGAAATGAGCGTAGGTGTCACAGTCAACAATTAAATGCGATCCGAGTCTAAAAGATGGTGTCGGATAAACCATCTCCAGCCGACCTCTCCCGCGAACTTTACAAAGCTCCATTTACACGTGGAGACAGATGGAAGACCAATTAGGAAACGATGATGTAAAGTTTGTTCAATTAGCAAAAAGCCAATCCCGACAAACTTATAAAAACACCAATTCCAAGGACAACGAGGCTTTCACTAAGACTTCCACTACACTTCTGTTCTGTTCGTGTATCTCCGTTTTTTTTTTTTTTTTCGTGCATCCTTTTATCTTTTGTGCATCTACTTTCGAGTCTTCGAACTTTTTGCTCAACACTGTCCAGGGGCCCCTACGACGCTGGACCAGATCGCCGCCGAAACACCTACAACATAGGATCGGTTCGGATCCGAAGACATCTTAAGTGGAACGAAACATGCAATTCTCTTTTTGTTTAGTATATATCTCTTTTCTATGGCTGCTATATCAAAAGGGTTTACATTTCTCATGCAGTTTAAAATGTTTATTCCTGTACAACCTAATTCCTCAGCGAACTCGGAAATCAACTCTAAGTTTACTTTAGGATCTGCCGTATAAATTTTCAAATAATTACTTCCACTTTGTAGGATTGCTCGTTTAAATAACCCCTTCGTCATTGGTGAGATCAAATGATCCGCAACTGAGATGGAACCTGCACTTTCACCAAATACCGTTATCAAGTCCTTATCACCACCGAAATTCTGTATATTCCGATGAACCCATTTTAAAGCCATCACTTGATCCAGCATTCCCATATTTCCACGTGCGCCTTCCTGTTCAAAATTTGCATAACCAAATGCGCCAACACGGTAATTGAATGAGACAACAATAACGTTTCCTATGGATGCCATAACCGAGCCATCATAAATAACCTGATTTGTGCTGCCGGCAATGAATCCACCTCCGTAAATCCAAACCATGGTAGCAAATGGTTCCCGATCCCGTTTAAAAGCAGGAACCCACACATTGATGTAAAGACAATCTTCGCTCATGTCTTTTCGATCAAGTTTCAACCATTCACTTTCAAAGAATAATTCTTGTATGCAAGCGGGAGGTTTCCGTGTTGCATTATAAACAGAATTCCAAGCTCTCGCGTGTCGAGGTTCCCGAAATCTTAAATTTTTAACTGGAGGAGTTGCGTATGGTATGCCTAAATAAGCATGAACATATTCATCTCCAACTCTTACTACTTTGCCCGAAACTTTTCCTAAGATGGAAGAATTGTGTGCTTGTTGCATGCATTGAGATATAATGCAAATTGCCAACGCAATCTTTAATAGTATCGACGACTTCATCCGTAATTCTGAAATATAAGTCATTTTAAATTTTACTTTTTGTCTTAATCGGTAGTGAAATGACAACTTCTTAACAGAGAAAAAGTGAAGAAAAAATAATTTCTAGTATCGACGACTTCATCTGTAATTCTGAAATATAAGTCATTTTAAATTATACTTTTTGTCTTAATCGATGGTGAAATGACAACTTCTTAACAGAGAAAAATTGAAGAGAAAATAATTTCTGATGATTTTTAATTAAACAATATAATTTATTTACCTTAAAAATGCAGTAGAATAATCTTAGAACATAATGATGAAGATTGCTGAGGAGATGTGTGAAAAAACAAAAGGAAACACACGAAATCAAAATGGTGGAAGTATAGTTGCAGGAAAAATTATGGCGTTGAAAACATTTATGAAATTAAAATTAGAAAGAAAAAAGAATTATTACAAGCAGAAAAACAAGATAGAAAAGAAGATAAATAAGAAAGATGGAAGCAAGAAAATGGCTTACGCAGTTCAGTTAACAACAAGAAAAGTGTTAATGAACAATTACATAAAAGGTGAATACGAAAAAGACAACGTGATCACTAAGAAAGAAATAATGAAAATGTAGTTATTAAACAAACAATACAGTACAGTACTGTACATATAAAGAATCACCATAAAACAAATTGAAACGGCACTTCAACAGAAAGGCAGAAGATCATCCGTTGTTAATGAATTCCGGTGAAATTAGAATTTTATTGTTGTCCATTATCTTCAATTTCTTATTGAAGAACAAAACAATACCTCAAGATTAAACCAATTCTGACAATACTAATATATTATATAAAAAGAGCTGAAGAAGAAAACATAAAAACTTTATAAATGATCTGAAATTAATAACGGATTGTGTCAGGAAATTTTCAAATTTGCCTTGTTTATTAAAATAACTACGCTCGGTATCGTAAATAGGAGAGGTTTTTTTCGGGCGACATAATTTATATTTTGGAAAAATTTTCACTTCTCGACCTGTACAAGAAACTAAACAAATAATTAATATAAAAAATTACGAATTAAAAAGTCAAGGTCAGAAAACAGAGAAGAAATGGTCGTTAGCCTTCAGAAACAGCGGAACAAATGTGAAGCCCCGGAAATAGTCCTCCCCAAAGAAAGATATGGAAAAGTTTGTTAAGTTAAATCGTCAAGAAAACAAACTATATAAGTGTCGAATCGGCGACACAGGACTTTGACGTCGACGCTCGTAAAGAGTAGAAGGAAAAACAAAATTTTAGATATAAAAGAACAAAATTTAAAATATTAAAGTTAAGACGCAGTTTAGAAAACTAAACGAAACTAGAAAAAAAATATTAAAATGAGCGTAGGTGTCACAGTCAACAATTAAACGCGATCCGAGTCTAAAAGATGGTGTCGGATAAACCATCTCCAGCCGACCTTTCCCGCGAACTTTACGAAGCTCCATTTACACATGGAGACAGGTGGAAGACCAATTAGAAAACGATGATGTAAAGTTTGTCCAATTAGCAAAAAGCCAATCCCGACAAACTTATAAAAACACCAATTCCAAGAACAACGGGGCTTCTACTAAGACTTTCGCCAGACACCTGTTGTGT